TTTCCTCATCACGCTGCAGGATAAGGGATGCCCCGCGATGCTGTAATGCGTAGTTTCGATGAAAGAAAGCGAACGCGGACAAAGGACGATCGCGTGGTGAGACATTGATTGAATCACGCTCGAATGAACGACGAGGCATGAGCGCTGGAGGGATGAGGGAACGGCCCGAAAGAGTGGCGGGCCGGGCGGCCCAGAAACTTGGGACTGGTGGGACCGCGGGCCAATCTCAAATGGTGCTGAATCGCGATGGACGGAGCTGAATCGTGCGCAATTTCGAATGTCGGCGAGGATGCTTGGTGCGATCCTGGTTCAGATTGCAGGAAGTGACAGGTATGCATTCAGCGGGGCTGCCGGAGCTGTCCCGGCGATGTGTACGGCATGCAGCAATTCAGCCAGGACAGACGGACACTCCATGACGACCGGGGTAATCAGCGAGCTTTGGGCAGCTCGTTGCTCGGGTCCCTGGCGATAACGAAGTGCAGAGGGGAAGACATCACAGATCACACATGCAGGGGGTAAGAGATCACACTCGAGGGGCGAAATGAGCAGCGAGGGGCTCACACGGCTGGGGAATACCCACGCGTCCAGTCATCTTGCAGAAAATGTGGGGAAAGATGCTGGTCACACGGCAGGGGCAGAGGGGTAGGCGAGGGGTTGGTGTTTGGTCACCAGACCTGTATCTTTCCATGGATCATCATCTGCAATCTGCAATCTCCAGTCTGACGACGATGTCTTGCGATCGCTTCAAGCGCCGAAAGCGCCGTTCCAAGCGACCCAAAGTTGATGATCCGGGGCGAGGAATGAGCGGAGCCAAGTGGTCCAAGTGGGTACAAGACCGAGTGGCCGAAGTGGGTTGCGCGGTCGTTCCTGTCCTCCTTTGGCTTCCTCGCTGGCACGCTGGTCTTGCTGCGGGGAGGACGTTGCCGGACCGTGCATGCGTCCGACATCCGGCACACATGTGTACAGCTTTGGCCCAAAGGCCAAGCCAGCCGGAGACAAGACGTTCCTGCAGAGCTTTCTGCAGAGGTACAGATAGGAACAGTGGACCGATGGCCGCAGTAGACGGTGCGCGGAGACGAAGAGCCACCGGCATGCGCGGCTGAGGTCTGTGCTGACGAAATTGAGATTGAGGCACTTGAGCACCACCAACACAGCGCGGTACACAAGAGTTCCCGGTCCGTGGGCGACGCCACCCGGCTTCGCTGCCGTTACCTGGGCCGTTCCGCGCGAGGCAGTAGAGGGAAAAGTGGCCGTGAGCCGCAGTCAACGCAGGACAGAGGCTGCAGCGGGTGTGTAATTAGCTGCAGGATACTGGCGTGCCTTGGAATCTCCTGGTTCCTCTCCTCTGGTCGGAGTGCAGATGCTGCAATCTGTTCTGGAGGTAGAATGTGCGGGAGAGCAAGGCAGGATCGAGAACAAAACCGCTCAGGACGCATCCGATATTGCGAGAGGTGTACAAACTGCGCGCACACTGAGGGGAGTTCGGAGAGGAGTAGCCAGGAGTCTGGAGCTGGAGCGCTAGGCACGCGCAGTCGTACCTCCCCCCTTCTGCCCTTTTTGCATGCAGGCCTCAGCCTTTGTGGCCCGAGACTGAGGCCTTGAGATCTCGAGGTGTTGGTGACCTCGCGTGCAGAGTTGGGACAGGACAGGGACCAGTCCGGCGCTAGTGCCCCGAGCCCGCCTCTGATTGGCCGTGTGCAAGCATTCGTGCCGCGCGTGCCGTAGCGCGGTTTTACAGTTTGCGTAAACGCCCCGGACAGCCCGAATGGACCCCCTCAGTCCCTCCGTTCCTGGGCTTCCGGAGCAGGAGGCGCCGAATAGGAGCGTGGGCCGCAGTCAAGCTTGGTGCAGGACGCGTCTCACCCGGCGCTATCGCGTGCTGCCGACCAGGCGCTGAGGGCCCAACCTGGCGGCCAACTAGCGCGCAGTAGTCCAGGACGTTGGCAATTGTCACTGGCTGAGACTATTCAGCCTGGTCTCTGGACCCTATCTGGATCAGGGCAGCCGGGCGGGAAGTCTATTTCCTCTGCTCTGGTTGACTAGCGAGGTACACAAGGAACGGTGACGAGGACGAGGTACGCAGGCAAGCAGGCAAACGTCGCCGACACACACCGCAGTGCAGGAGAATGCAGGAGAATGCAGGGGATGCAGGAGTCTGCAGGACTCGAGACGGTCCGGACCAAGTCGATTGCTACGCAGACGCAACTTGCGCTTCCTGCTCCGCCCATTCCAGTAATGTGCCGCCGCACCGTGTCGTAAGCTGGAAGCGGACACTTGCTGTTGGGACGGACGGACACAGGCTCGGGTCCTGCACTCCTTTCCTGCGCATCCTGCCCGCCTGCAATACTTGCAAGTGATCGAACTCGTCGGCCAGGTCCCACCAAGCTCCGCAGGCTGGAATGCCCGGTACTGCATTAGCAGCCCCGAGTCCGTCGAGGCGTTGACGGTGTATCGTAATCTGCAAGAGGGGACCAGGCAAACAACACAGCTATCTGCGACAAGGAGAATTGCTCCTGTTCGTCGTGAGGCAGAGCAAAGCATCACAAGATCATGAGAGGAGGAGGTGAGAACACGAGGGTGGTGACGTACCCTGCTCCTGGCGATCAGAAGTGAGCGTCATGGATCTGGTGGAGCTGAAGCGAGGTCACGAGGAGACAGCAGACTCCTCCTGTGATCCTTTCGGGCTTGACACCATCGGCCATCATCGGCCACCATGGGTCAACAAGGTTGCCAGATCAAGGCATGACGGAAGGTTTAATGTCGTCTCTCAGTGTGCGCTCTCAGCGTTCTGCTCGCGGTGGAGACGCGACTGACCTTTGTCCCAGGGCCGGTGTCTCCCAGGGTCCAACGCTGAACCCTATTACGCCCTGGTTCGACTGGTTGCCCTGAGGCTGCTGTTCGCGCAGCTCTTGTCTCCCTGCACGCGCTGCGCCCTGGACGAAACACGCAGGACGCGACGGGGGGCGCACCAGCACCCAGGGGCAACGGCACGACTGCAAGCCCAAGCCGGCCACCGTTCCGTAAAGCGCGCCGGTCGCGCGCCAGCCATGCAGCCATGCCACCAGCCAACGGTAACGAGTGACGCACCGTCCTCGGCCCCGTCGACCCACTGACCATGCAAAATGCCTCGCTCGTCCTACGCCTTGGCCTCGCCCTTCCGGATGCCGGATCCCCGGATGTCGGAACTCGCAGCGGCCCAGCGGCCCAGCGGGCATCTATGCAATTCACTCCTGCAGTCATCGTCGCGCTTGCGCTTACTCGCAACCATGAGCGAGCGGTTGCTGGCAGAGGCTATGACTGGGTTTCGCTGGACCCTGGCAAGTCCCGACATAATCACATAATGGGCCCTGGGATACCACCACCCAAATGCAGCGCAAGCTCGGATACTCGGGCGGGGCACGGCACAAGCTCGCGAGCTGTACGAGAAGCTAACTTTGTTGCGCCGCGCACCCGGAGAAGCCGGACGAGGCAAGAGAAGAGGCGACGATGGATGCGGAGGTGGGTGGGGGGCCTGTCGGCGTCGCTGGCCGGCGAAGTGTGCGAGGGCCCCTGTGGATCTGTGGATCAATGGAGGAAGGAAGAGTGGTGGCTGCGTGTTCGCGTGAGAGGGCCAAGGGCGGTGGACGGAATTGGTATACGGCTACGCACGAGCCTCCTTGCCTCTCCCTGCAAAGAGCTTAGATGTGCCATGGCCGGCGACCAAGTGGGTGGTGGGAGTGGGAGGGAGTGAAGTGTGCCGGGCGCGCGCGCGCGCAAGGAGGAGGAGGCGAGTTGACTGGCTCTTGGGCAGACCAGGGCTCGAGTCTGCTGCAATTGGTACTGCTCTCGCATGATCTCGCAAATGTTTCCCTGCAGGTCGTCCGCAATGCGAGGCCATGGACACAACGGTGTCATCCAAGTGACCAAGTGATCCAAGGCCAGAGCACGGCCCTCTCCCAAGCGGCCCTGCATCCTCGGTCCTCCTGCCTACACCCCACCCCCCTGACCTGACTCTCTGGCCCCTCTCGCCGTTCCCCCCTGGGCTCGAATCGCCAGTGACCCTGCCCTGGCCACCGGCCGGCTTCCTCCAGCTTACCCTGAGGAACACCCAGGACACCCAGGCGCCAGGATCCAGTCGCCTCCTCCAAGGCGCCAGAGGGACACTTGCACCGGATGCCTGCCTAGCCTGCCTAGCCTGCGCCTGCCTTGCCTACCAACACTCGTCCTTTCACCACCACCACCACCATACACTCTCACTCCTTCTTCGATCCCATCATCTTTCTTCCTTCCTCCTCCCCACCCTCTCTCTCTTCTCTTCCTCCTTCCCTCCCTCCTATCTCGCCTTGTTCTTCCATTCTCTTTGACTAACCCACCTACACTCCTTTAAACCTTCCGGCAACAGTCAACCCCCCCCGACAAAGCACGCTGAGCGTCTAGTCAAACCAACCCTCCCAACCACCTCTCGACTAAACCAAACCTCTCTCACACCAACAACCCCGCCTCGAGCACCCCCCTTCCTCTCTCATCAACTCATTCGGATCAATCATCAATCATCAGCACATTCAACTCATCACTTTACGCTGTGTAACGACCAACCCAGTCTCATCAAAACACAAACACCCCCTTCCGGCTTCGGTCGACTCTGTCTGCGCGCTGAGAACCCGCCGTTCCCAAATCCGGGTCACCAACCAGCACAACCCAATCGACTCTACTACCACCCTACCTCAGATGTGAGTGGACACGCCGTACACATCCCCACCGAAACGAAAGCGATCTGCCTTCCTTTCCTTTCGAATGTTTGATACCCCTTGTGTCGATTGCCTTCCCTCACTCTCCGAGGCCTGCCGAGACCACCGCCTTCAACTTTCGGTGGCGGCTTTTGTTCACTACGCGTAGCCGGCGCACAGACACACCCTCGTTCTTGAGTCTTTGTTTGTGCGACGCGAACGCGCGGCAACCCTAAATTTCCATGCACACGCACATATGGGGACAATGCTGACCTTCAGTGAAAAGCAGACAACATGCCCCGCATCCCTTCGCGCGAGGAGCCCTACCACAGCGTTGCCAAGTGCAACCGTCATTGGAAGACGAAGCGCGAGTTTGTCACGAAGGCGGCCAACAAGGCTTCCCACGTCGACGGCTCGCACTACCTTCTGGTCTGTGTTACGCCAAAGGGAAACATTGAGGTGCATGCGAGTGAGCACTTCTACGACGACACGAACCAGCAGAGGACGGACGGCGTGATCAACTGGGATGTTCTGCGTAAGCGTTCTAGCGCCATTCAGGCCAGGAACGTCGAGCGTTGGCAGGAGGTCGAGCGTCAAGAGAAGCGTTTCGGTGTTGAGGGCGAGGGCGAAGACGAGGACAACGACGACGAGAACGAAGACGGCGAAGTCAGTGTTTCGGACCTCGGTGTGCCTGGAGCCTCTGGGTCTGACACTTCCTCCGTCGTTGCCATGGGCGGCGCTCCCGTCGTCTCTAGCTTCCCCACGTCGTCAAAGTCTTCCCCCGCTCGCCCCGTTTCGTCTGTGACCCTCCGCCCCGACACCCTCGAGCAGGAGTACAGCATGCGCTTTGAGCACCTCGGCCAGGGCGTTTGCGCAAACGTGCTCAAGGCTTGGATCAAGGTTGTCGAGCCGAAGAAGCAGACCAAGTTCCCCTACAAGGACAAGAAGGGTAACGAGGGCAAGCCTCCCCCTTGGTGGCCCACTGGAATGCGACACATCGAGCCCGACCACCTCCACAAGGATGAGAGGCCGCGACTGCTGTCGTCCATCATCATGCAGGCCAGCAAGGCGCGCTCCGAGGGATCCGGCAAGGTTGCCACTTCCCCCGACGCCCGCGAGCTGACGATCTCGCGCCTTCACTTTGCCACCGCCGAGATCGCTTCTGCCATCCCTCCCCGCCAGCACTACGAGCTCCGCCAGATCTACCTGATCGCCAAGGAGGTTCGCAAGGCTGTCGAGGACCGCATGCGCGAGTGCAAGAGCAAGGGCTTCGCGTTCGACGAGACTGTTCCCGCCTGGAGCGAGATCACTGTCGAGTTCTTCGAGAAGTCTCCTTCGGCCTCTTCGAACTCTGGCAAGCGCTCCTTTGACAACGCCGACTACGACCTTTCTCGTATGCCCCTCGCCAACAAGGAGAACCTCGACTACGGCTCCCGCCCGATCAAGCGCGGAAAGCACGAGCTGCAGGTCTCCCCTCTGGGCTCGCACCAGAACATCTATGCTCCTGTTCACTCCTACCAGATTGAGCAGCAGCAGCCCCCCACCCCGTCGACTTCGCCGTACGCTGGCTGGAACGGAGTCGGTGCGATCACCGTGCCGACGACGGCCGCCAACGCCTCGCCCTCGTCTCTCTCGAGCACGTCCGCGACGTACTACCGCCCGTTCGTTCCTGACATGGCCTACGGTACTCCGACGACAACCGCGAGCACGTCCGCGGCTTCCGCGTACCAGTACGCGACCCCCAACTCCACCACTGGTGCTGCCACTTACGGCTACCAGACGGTGGCGTACCCCCCTGCTCCCAGCAGCTACGGCTCGTCCACCCCGCCCGCTGCTTCGTACCCCACGCCGACTGCCACGCAGTCGTACACGTACCCTAGTGCGTACGAGGGTCAGAGCTTTGTGAGCGAGCTTACTTTGGCGACTTGATTGCTTTCGCCAAGCCCGTCAAAGCTCGATTGAAGTACATTCGTCGAGCATTAAGTTCTTAGTAGTACAACCTCTCTCCCATTATATTCAGCACTACAACAATCTCACACTCTCCATGTCTGTACAAGTAGGCATGGGCGCGCATGCTCATTCACCCCCACCTCGATACCCCTTTATATCAAGGCGAATACCCTCTCCCCCCTCCTCTCATCTTCCTCTCTTATATTTACCAACCCGCGCTGGGCGCACTCAGTTTGACGTCTTACTCGTTTTATCGGAAGAAAGCTTTCACCACAAGGCACTGCAGTTTACGTCGCCACGACTACTCTTTTGGGCTCCGAACGGCAATGTTTTGTAGTTTTTTGCTATGCAACAGAGTTTGCCGAGCACCCCAGCCGCGAGCGAAGCGCGCAGCGCGAGCGAGCTTACCACATGATGTGCTATGAGCGAGCTGCCACACATCGTCCATCAACCTAACGACGAGTGGCTGCCTACCTGGTGCGAGCTGGGCAGATCTCAGCCCATGACCTCCCGTTTCAGCATCCCTCACGTCCAATAACATGCCCACGAGGATGAGGCACGAGTGCGAGCACGCCGCAAGCATCTACCGCGAGAGGGTACGATACGAAGCACGGAAGTACCGGGATACACCGGGTGGCTGTGGGCGTCTGGGCGCCTTCTCCTGCAGTGTCTTGGGTTACCTGTGAGTGTCCTAAGCAGTCTGCTCGGTACCTGCTGCGGAGGCGCGAGAAGGTCGTCCCTTCGTCCCTTCCATCCCTGGGATTCAGAGCGTGCTGAGTGGTGTCGCACATTCCCAGGTATCACCCCGTTCCAGCCAGTTCCAGCAAGATATCCCCAGGTAGTTAGTGGATACTCGGCCACATTCGTCGGTGAACGGCCCGAACAGGCGCCCCCCTTTCCTATCCCTCAAGGCCTCCGCCTGCCCCGGGCTGCCCGGCGCATCCGGCACATCTGACGCATCCGGCACATTTGCGGGACTTTTGCAGGCCGTCAGCGCCAGGATGGCCGATGGGCGGTGACTGGCCAGTAGGGGAGGGTGCGGGGGACCCGGGATACCGGCGTGGCGCTCTGGCGCGCTTTGGCGTTGTGGGCGCTCTACGGCCTGCCGGTTTGCGGGACGCCACAGGATACCTGAGCTGCCATGACTTTGCAGGACTCTGCAGGACTCTGCAGGACTCTGCAGGCAGGACTTTCAGTCCCAGATCGGTCTACAGGAGACTGCAGGAGTGCAGGAGTGCAGGAGTCTGCAGGACTCTCTGCAGGCGTGTAGCAGGAGTTTCCGAATCAATCTGCAGGTATGTATACGCAGGAACTACCGTTCCAAGTTTGGCCGCAAGAGACCTGCAGGACCGGCAGGAGTGGAGGGGACCTGTCGCGGAAATGACAGTGTGTCAATGGGGACAGGGCTCGAACATGAAGCAAGTGGATCTCGGCGACCGTCCGCGGTCCCTTCGGTCCTCGGCGCCGACCAAGGCGATGGCGCGTAGGGGTGAGTTACACCAGGGTCGGCAGTGAGTAGCTCGCTGAAGCCGCTGGGGCCGCTGGGGCCGAGTTGCCCGTGGCTGTGAGTACTGGCGCGCGCTAGCATTCATGAAGTAAGGAGCGACGCGCGACGGCGCGATTCGGCGCGACGCGGCGCTGAATGGTCGCGCGCTGAGACAGGTCTCACACTCGTGGAGGCGCGAGGTATGCAGACTGCAGACGACTGACTGCCTTTGATGACTTCCGGCGCTCCCGCTGATGAGGTTAGACTCGATGCCAGCTCGACGAGATTGGCGGAGAGCGCCGAGACCACGTTCATGAGCTCTGTGGGGTTATGGTGATCTACGCTATCGAGGTGGTCAGTCTGCATGTCCTTACCCATGACAACAACAGGGTGGTAGAACGTTGGGGACGGATGGCGGTCCATCTGGTGAGATTCTCGTGAGTCTGGCGTTATCAGCCTTCCGAGGCATGTACCTGTCTGTCTGAGTCTGGCATGAGGTGGCATGCACGACGCGTCGTGCGACCTCGTTAGGGTCAGTAGTCGTCAGCCAGTCTAGATCAGCCGTACCAGATATACTCACGCGCATCGTCCCCCCATCCCCATCTTGACCGAACTCACCACTGACGTGGTCCATAATACCACAGCAGCACTGACGACCAGGTGGCAAGCTGGACCGTGCGATCGCGATCAGCAGTCTGGAATAAGGAGGCTAGGTCGAAAGCAGAGCGGAGTGAGCGGGGTGAGCGGGGGCGGGCAACGAGCAAGAATACCCCGAATCCCGAGCTCAGAACGTGACCTCGCGACCTCAAGACCGAAGGAGTACGCAGCATTCCGCGATCTCCAGCGTAAGTCTCACGACTACCATCATTCCGCTTGGCTTCCTTCCAAGCGTTGATCACGCTTGCGGACTCTTGGCCCCGTGCACTCAGCTTGCTCTGTACCTCCGGAACGGAACAGAGTTGACACGATGGAGGAGCTAAGCGCTGATCTGACAATCGCTGGGGTGTGACTGGGCTGCTGTCACTGCTGCAGATATGCAGATCCGGCAACAGGGCGCAACAGGGCAACGATGGCATGCCATCCTACCTCACAATCCGTGGGGGTCAAGCTCTGAGCTTCGAGCTTTCTGGAGACCTAAGATCTCAAGAAGAGCGAAGGCTCTCAACATCAAGCCTTGTTGACAGACGTGGTCACATTCCATGTCGGAACCCTCGGCGGATGCGGCTGCCAGCCTAGTCCCGGAACGATCTTCGCTACCGCCCCAGTCCACATGTTCGTTCTTCAGCATTCCACGCTGTCCGACTTGTTCCGCTCGTCGTTGCTGCGCGAGGGCGCGCGCGGAGTGTAGAGTCCGGTGTGCGTCCGAAAGCGAGGCGATCAAACGTTCCAACCCAACGTTCCACTGCTGCGCTGCTTCATTTGCTGTGTCAAATGCTTCTGTGTGATCTCCGGCTTGGCTGCATGCGGGATTCATGCGGAACTGTTCTCCCGGATCTCTCCTCACAGTCTCAGCTGGCGATCCGGCAAGGTACCCAGATCGCCAGATCCCGGGCCTTCCGCTGCTTGTCAGATGAGCAGCAGCCCCACTCTCGCTGCTCCTTGCACAGGCGGCACCGTGCGATGGTCCGAGATTAGCTCTGGGGATGTCTTGCGCTCAATCCGAGTTGCTCCAGCCAGGTCAACCCAAGCTGAATCCAGCACCGAAGCCAATCTGATACTCTGAAGCAACCTAGAGCCTACACTCAAGTTAGATTCATCTTTAGTTGCGGGAATCGCATCACTTTGTCCCGTTCTGAGCTTATCCTATCCTGTCCGACACCGGACCGGTATCGCAGTGAAGATCAGCCGGACCGGCGACTGCAGTACTGCAGTGGTGACTGCCCACCACGCGCCCATCGCCGGACGAGGAACCACGAAGCTGATTCCAGTGCAGATCGTTCCTTATCCCCCACTCTGGCCCATGACTCTCTCCGCAATCCGGTTATTTTGATCTCTAGACCGCTGGCAACGGGAGCGGAGCTTCCTCGCTGTCACATACGTCGCATTCGGCTCTAGCTCCTGCCGCCGCGTGACGTTCCAACAACCGGTGCAGATCTGATTCGTCCTGACGTCCTTTCGGTGTCTCTTCGGGCACGTCAGGTATCGGGCACGTCGGGCACTGCGGAGGCACGAATGGGATGTTGAATGTGGAAGATTTTCACGCTGCGCCGTACCATGGTACCATGGTGTAACGGTACAGCAGTACGCGCATCCCCTTTCCCCCCGCCCCCC